CCCCGCGGGGCGCCGTCCCCGCCGCACCCGCAGTGACGCGGCTCTGCTCGGGGCCAGGTGCCCAGCAGAGATAGAGGCTGCTCCCGGGCTCTGATGCCCGGTCACAGAGAAAAAGCCGTCCTAGAAAGGGAGGTGCGTCAGGACGCGCACGTGCCTGGGTGCACACACGCGTGCACGCGCACACACGCGCACACACGTGCAGACAGGCGCACGCACCGTCTGTGCTGAAGTCGTCTAAAGTGAGTTTGGGGACCAGGTCCTAGGGGCTGCCTGCCCCCACCCTCCACCCCTCTCTTTAACCCATGAAGCCCCTCCCCCAGTCTGTGACAACTTTTTATTCAGCTTATGGTGAGTTTCCTTTACAAAATAAGAAAGGTCCTAGGAAGAGAGATTTGTGGTTAATAATACAATTTATTGAGCTTTTACTATGTGCTAGGGCCTCATTGAAATGTCAGCCGAGCCTCACAACCATCCTGTGAAGAGGTCCTGCCATTAGCTCCCACCTTCCAGAAGAGGAAACTGGGGTGCAGAGAGACTGAGTACTCGCCCAGGGTCCCAGCCCTGGGAGGTGGCAGAGATTTGAAAGTATCTTTCTCACTTTAGATCCCGTGGTCTCAACCCGCCGGTCTCAAACAGAAGCCAACTGGCAGCAGAATTCCCAGAAGGTCCGGAGCATTCCTAAGATTCATCCCAGGAAGCCCACGCACACTTGGCCGACCGCAGTGTTTTCCTCCTGGGCCTCCCAGTGGCCAATCCTGCGGCTCTGTTCCTCCATCAGACACCCTCCTAGGTTGGAAACATCTCCAAGCCTAAAGCCCTTTGATCAGATCAACATCTGTGTGAGATTTTAATCAAGAAATCTGATTTGCTGGAACCTCAATGATTGTCTTTTCCTACAGAGACTCAGGGTCATGCTGTTGACAATGGTAGCCAGACTCAGAGGGGTCTCTGCAGTCCTGCTGGCCTGTCCCCTGCTCAGACCTGGGGCTGGGGTCACCTGGAGGCTCTTTAACTCGTGCATCTGGTACCTAGGCCGGAGTGAGTGGAACCTGGCCCAGCAGTCACTGAGAATCAGGACACATCCATATGGCCTCTCAGTGTGGTCTGAGCTTCCCTGAGCATGGAGGCTGGATCCCAAGCGAGCAGCCCAAGAGCCAGGGTTCCAGGAGAACTGCCAGAAGCAAAGGGCCTCAGTTGCCAAACACCATTATTCCCACCTCCTTCCATGAGTCTCGAAGGCCACAGTCATGGGAAGGGGATTGGCATCCACCTCTTGACAGGGCGTGGCAAGGCCACTGCAGAAGCGAAGGTGATGGGAGGCAGGTTGTGTCATCTACGGAAGGGCACCTGCCACTCCGTCATCCTCTTCCTAGCTCTGTGTTCTCGGTCTGAAGCCACCTGCTATTGCATCTTGGAAAGGATTCATGACAGATAAATTTCTTTATTCTTGGCTGGGCATCGAGTTCCAGGTTGGAGATCAGATCGTGTTCTTTCTGAACTGAGGAGGCTCCATTGCTCGCCAGCTCCAGTTTTTTTTGTTTTTTTTTTTGTCTTTTTGTCTTTTTTCGTGACCGGCAACGGGATCGCAACCCTCGGTGTCGCGCCCGCACCGCCCTCAACCAGTGAGCAGACCGGTCTCTATATGGGATCCGAACCCTCGGCGGGAGCGCCGCCGCGCTCTCAAGCGCCGCACTCTACCGAGTGCGCCACCGGGCCAGCCCAGCTCCAGTTTTGATGTCAAGAAGCCGGAGGCAATTTTGATTCTTATTCTTTGTGTGGAAACTGTCCTCTCTGTAGGCTTTTTGGGTTTTCGGTGTTACTGCTGTCTGAAATTTCCCCATGGAATTTTTGTTTGGGGAGAGTCTACTGTCATCCCTGGGACGGGACTGGTGGGTCATTTCAGGACGGAGCCTTGGGTCCTCCAATCCTCAGACGTTGTCTTTATGGTCTCCTCCCTGTCTTCTCTGTTCTCGCTTCAGTCACGCCAACTATTCGGTCTAAAGTTGGTCCTCTCTTACCTTCTCTCGTTGCCCTTGTAACTTTCCCTCATACAACTCAGCACATGGTAAGGGTCATGCAGAGAAGAGCCAAGGGCACCGAGTCTCGGTGAGGACAGGCACAGGAATGAGGAGCGCGCGAGCAGGCCCCAGCGGAGGACGCCTTTATTTGGGAACTAACAAGAGCCACTGAAGATTCAGAGGTGGGGGCCGGACGGTTAAGCGATTCTAAGTTTCTTAAAAGATGAGTAGGGTGAATTTTACGGTGTGTAAATAATGATACTGTTTAGAAAAGGTCTGTATCTTTTTTTTTTTTTCTTAAAGATGACCGGTAAGGGGATCTTAACCCTTGACTTGGTGTTGTCAGCACCACGCTCACCCAGTGAGCTAACCGGCCATCCCTATATGGGATCCGAACCCGTGGCCTTGGTGTTATCAGCACCGCACTCTCCCGAGTGAGCCATGGGCCGGCCCAGAAAAGGTCTGTATCTTAAATGACTCGGGGCACAGCGTAAAGGGTAAACTGGAGGGGAAATCCAGGAGGCGGGGAGCGGCTGGCAGGTTTCCGCGGGAGCAGGTGAGCAAGATGGTCGGGAGAGGGGCCCCGTGGAGGTGGCAGGACGGCGTGGAGAGGGAGCCGCAGCACGACCAGTCTCGGTTTGGCCAACACGTTTTCCTGAGCACTATGCCCAGTTTCTGCCATTTCTCCTTCACATCCAACATCCACACTGTTCTCTCCTCTCTGCCTGGGGGCTGGTCTGTCCCACTCAACCAAGGACCTGGACTTCTGACTGGGTTTGGCCAGAGGAGACCCCCAGAGAAGATGGGGAGAAGGGAGTAGAGTGAGGTCAGAGTGTTTGTCCCTGCCAGGAAGGTCACCATGGGCTTTGTCCTCTACACACCATCAGGCCTGAGTGGCAATAGAAGAGAAGATGGGGAGAAGGGAGTAGAGTGAGGTCAGAGTGTTTGTTCCTGCCAGGAAGGTCACCATGGGCTTTGTCCTCTACACACCATCAGGCCTGAGTGGCAATAGCCCCTTGGAGCTGGGCCCTGCTCTATTCCTGTGGTCTCCTGTCATCCACCACACCTTTGTCCAGTGTCCCTCTGTCAAGCCTTCCTTCAACTACTCCAACTGAGGGCACCTGATCAGCCCCCCAGTGCCAGGCCTATGCCCAGGACAAGGAAGGATGGCACCATTCCGGGAACAGGAAATGGGCCAGAAGGGCAGGTTCTGTTTAAGAAGGTAGAAAAGCATATGTTTCAGGTCCACTTTCATCAAGAGGATGCAGAATAAAAAGCTTTGGGGCGGAAGGCTAGACTGCAGTTACCTACAGACTGACTGCTATGGGGGCTGGCCGGTTACCTGAGCTGGTCAGAGCATGGCCAAAATGAATAAACGAAGACCTCCTTCTGGGGAAAGCCTGGTGCCCTGACAGCGTTAGAAAATGAGGTGTTTTGATGTAATTTGTCCACTTCCAGTAAGAAGTCACAAAAAAGCTGCCCTGCCCCTGATCCCAGAGATCAGACCCCCAGGACCCTGGATGGGAGCTCAGGGCAGCAGCCACGTCACCAGACAGCCTGCCCTTGAGGCCTCCTCGTGGTGCTCATGGCTGACCCGAATGGAACAAATCTCTTCCAACTCTCCCCATGACAGTCTCAGAGCTGCATCCAGAGCCACGTCTCCCGATTATCTCAGATGGAACACACCGCTCTGCAAGGACCAGAGCCAGGCTGCTGTTGGGACGCGTCACACGGCTGTTCCTCAAAGCTGTGCCTCCCAATCACAACCTCCCCCGCTGCCCCCATTTCTTCCAGCTTAGCTAGCACAGAGAACAGCCCGATTTCACATGGGAAAGCTCATCCTCGGATGATGAGCGCGTGGCCTTTCATGGAACAGAATAATCCACAAAAAGCTCCCTTGGATAGACACAGGAGCCTTTGGCCCACAGCTTATATGACTTTGGCAACCATTTATGAAAAAATATATACATACATGTATTTTATATATATTAACAATGAATACAAAATCAGGAAGTAGATAAATGAATCTCAAACTTAGAAAGCTGACAAATACGGTGCCGCCACAGCACGGTCGATCAGCTGACCGCCCACCCGGGCTCCATGCCACGTCCGTCCCGCATTTCCACGTCCGGCCTCTCATGACGTGCGGCACCGTGGCACTGTCTAGGACGAGGCCGTCTCCTCTGAAGGACTGAAGTGTCCTTCCCATGAACAGCTTGGGAAAGCTCTGGCCTCGGCTCCCATCACCCGTATCACTGTGCTGCCGTAGAACGATGCCCAGGGCCCGGAGCATCTCCCAGCACCAAGGGGCCAGCACGGGGCAGAACCAGCCATTCCCTGCACCTGGCACAGCCCCCAGAGATGCTCTCAGGAGGGAGTCTGGGCCATCCTCCTCCTCAGGTAGTCTGGCTGTCCCATCAACCCCTCCAGGGACCGACAACCTGGGGAGGCTACCTCCCACTCTCTGGACCCAGCAGGGTCTGTGAGCAACTCCACTGGGAGCTGGCAGGTCACTCACCTCACTGCTAACTCGTGATTCCCAAAACGCCGGTCCAGGCATCGCCTACACCAGGCTACAGGGTTCTAAGCATTGACGGTTCGTGAGAAATACAGGAGCATGAGATGGAGGCTCTTCCTTCAAAATCCTCTAAGGCTAAACAAATACACACTCCAGCCATCGTTTCTTTCCCTGCTGACCACTTTGCTCCTACTCGGTTAACCACAGAAGGATCCCTGAGCTGTGCTTCCCAAGTGGTTTCAGTGGCAGAATGATTATCTTTGCAGAAGACCCCAAGTCTGGCAGCCGCCAAAACCAAAGCCACGCGTATGCATGGGGGGAAATCAAGCAGCACACATTCCATCGTAACGAAGCTGTTTCATGGCATCATTGTCCTTAGAAACAGTCACGTTTCCCTCGGGCCAGAATAAATAAGCTAAAATCTTGGCGAATTGTTATCTAGGGATTAATAGCGTAACGAAGCTGTTTCATGGCATCATTGTCCTTAGAAACAGTCACATTTCCCTCGGGCCAGAATAAATAAGCTAAAATCTTGGCGAATTGTTATCTAGGGATTAATAGGTTTGAAATGCTAACAAGTTCTTAAAAGTCACAGTCCTCTCTCCCTTCCTATGAAAACTAGACCTCTGAAGGCATTCAGTTCTGCTTCTGAATTCTACCGAGGGGACCCTGACCTGTAACATATAAAAAACAAGCACACAAGAAAGATGAATTCATCCTCTTCAGTCCACCTCAGTGAGACACTGGGTGTCCCCTCCAACACTGGTGTTTTCTAAGCCCTAAGCCAACCTAATATCTCCACCAATTGGCCTCTTCCCCCAAATATAATTCTACGGTTACTTTCATTCTCCCCTAATGTTTTCCAAATCTCACAGGGTAAATAATAGCAGTTAAGCGGTACCTCTAGTCAAATATTGCAGATAGTTATCAGGCTACTCCTGGTCTAATTCTGAAGCTCCGTGCTTTTTAATTTGAATAAAAAGATGAAACTTGCTCTTCTAAAAAACAACTGTTGTACCTATTTATTGTCACAATATATACATTACAAAGGCTTCTTGGCAAACAACTAAGATAAACATTGAACTACGATAAATGAGGGAGTCTCATGTGTTATTGAAACCACTGAAAGTTTATTCAAATTTTTATGCAGAAGGATGTGTTAGCACAGATGCCATTCATGAAATATTTCTCATCACTGCAATACTGAAGGAGGGAAAAAGTACTAATTCAGCACTCATTCTGTATGTTGCAAGGGAATGACGACTCAGCAAGCTTTAGAAAACGGCACACAGATGGGGTCATGGAGGAGCAACTCAAGGCTCCTAAATTTACCCTGGGACACCCTCGGCTAGCAGCTCGGTCACTCCCAGAATCAGTTTCCAGACCGACGCAGCCTGCAGCAGAGTCCAGAGGTAATGCAGAAAGAAAAGGGAATGTGCTTGATTTTGGAAGTGGTCATTATAAGAAGCTTCTAGTAAGATAGTTTCATGTCTAGACCCAAGTCTTACGTATCAAGAAGCACCATCATGAACAGCTCAGAGACATTCCTGGAATGTGACAGCAGGGAGGCAGTGACAGAAAGCCATCCTCTGAGCAGCAGTGCCCGAGCACCTGGCCGCTTCCCTGCGCACTAGATACCCTACCCCATGCTGCTCACATGGGATCACTGCGGTTTCTCTACTTTGGAGCAGCAGTGAGGCTCAATGTCACTCATGCTTCATAAGTCCCTCTGTCCACATCACATCTCCAGTGTGGCTTTATCTAGCTATCAAGTCTAAGAATGACAAAACCTTCCCTCTGAGATATTATGTATTTTACAAGGTTTGAGGATAAGCTACTGAGTTGGTCTTAAGCCACTCCAGCCACGTGAAAAAACGGGGAAAAATTCACGTTGAACAGGACCATGGAGAAACAAAAGGAGCCCTGACCACGGGCTCTGTATTTTACAAGGTTTGAGGATAAGCTACTGAGTTGGTCTTAAGCCACTCCAGCCACGTGAAAAAGCGGGGAAAAATTCACGTTGAACAGGACCATGGAGAAACAAAAGGGGGGGGGGGGGGACAGGACCATGGAGAAACAAAAGGAGCCCTGACCACGGGCTCTGGTTGGAATCTGGTGCACCCGCACTAGAGAACTCAGCACACCACTAACAGAGGCCTGCCCCTGGAGGCAAGAGATTCACTTGATCAGATTCCTCATGATGCTTAGGGAGGATCCTCTATACCCTGATCCAAAGTGATTCCAGTGGTTCAAATAGTGAAAGAGCTGATATAACTTAAGGCGCTTCTCAAATCCTGGGGCCTTGGGGATTTTGCTGTGGTAGGCAGAGTAAAAGGAGCCACTAAAGCCCCCAAACATGCCAGCTATCGCGAGCTCATATTCCGAGTGGCCATAGAAAGAAGCTGGATCAAAAATGATGGGCCCAGCAGAATCCTCTGCTACGTTTCCTCCCCAGAGGTCTCCATGGAGTAGGGCTGGGACGATCTCCAGATCACGGAACAGGTCAGGGATCTTCAACTGCAGCGGGGAAGACAGAGTGGAGAGATCAACGCGTGGATGAGGGATGCAGACGTCTAAGTGCTGCTCCACACATCCAAGCGCAACTTCATGCTCGGACATGCAGGGCTCAGGCAGAGCAGATGGGACACTGACAGGCATCCTCTTCCTGCCCAGAACCAGACTCAGGTGGCTGCACCTGCTTTGGCACCTCCCCCACATCAGGGCTGGGCGGGGCATGTTGCCAGCGCTAAGTGCACAGGGGAGGCAGGGGTTGGGGGGCCTGCTTACCTGTAGAGCAGACCAGAGCTCCAGGGCCTCCCTGTCCCCAGACTCCTTCTCCACCATGTCCATCTGGGGCTGAATGCGCTGCCGGGCATAGAACGCAACCCAGTCCTTCTGCCAGTCATTCACCTGCACGAGCAATAGCAAAGGAGAAAGAAGAGTTCATTCTAAAATGCCAGGACTGAAGGGGGGCTTGAATGCCCAGAAGCACCCCAAAGTGCAAAGGGCCACAGAGATGGTGTGGGGAAGGGGTGGCGGTCACAGGAGGCTGGAGAGGGTGAGGGGTGCCCAGGCAGCATGGGGTCTCATGGACACGCTGAGACCTTAGGTCCTATCCCAAGAGCAGTGGAGCAAGGTTTGCTTCAGGATCCACTCTGTAGCCTTCCAAGACCAAAGAGCTCTCAGACATTTTCTTTTCAATTACACTCACACTGGAGTACAGAGGCCAGAGCTAGCTGACCCTCCTTGACCTGGTGGCTCATTTCTGACCATCTGCCTGGCCATGCACTATGCCTCTCCAGGGAGGGATGATGTGAGAAGTCATGTGGAGCCCTGTTCTAAAAGACCCATAAGAAAAGATGTCCAGGTCACGGGTGCTTACAATCTGGATAGAGGGAGTAAGACAGACACAAGAGTAGAGTAGCACACGGAGCAGTACGTGATGACAAACAACAGTCTCACACACACACGCACACGCGTGCACAGCCGAGTACAGGCAGGAGAGGTAGGGGCAGAACCGCCCAAAACACCCCCTGGAGAGGCAGGACCACAAAGCACCACTCACGGCCTCTAGGCAGGTTTCCAGACAACTTCCTACATCTCAAAATCTGAATAGTGTCAACTCCCCCGATGTCTACCAGTAAGCCCCTTAAAGTTTTCTAGGTTCTTCAGTGTCCCCCTGGCGAGGAGCCACGCTGCCTCTCCCCTTGGCGCAGAGCTGCCATCCCATCGACTCATTTGCTGGGCCTCAGGTAGAACTCCCCAGGCTGAAACTCCCAGGGAAGCCGACCATAAAATCATAAAACTGAAAGTTACGCTTGTCATTATGCTATCTTTGAAAGTTTAGTATATTTAAAACATTTTTTTAAATTTTCTAATTTTTACCGGCCTTGAAATCCAGTACCCTAACTTGCTGGCCCTTCTGTTTCTCCATGCTTACCTAGCATATAAGGTGGGTAAACTTCAAGTCAACCTTTTAAAAATTAGCAAAGAATAAAAGAGTGCAAAGACTTTCGCTGAATCTCACAGAAAGGGAAGAGGGTGTGCTTCCCCCACTATGCCTGAACAGCTGACCTGACTGTGAAATGGAAGCGAACGCTGCATCACTCACCTGAGGGAGGTATCCACAGCACGTCACCACGTCAAACCCAAACTGATCCACACAGGGCCGTTCTGCCTGCCCGCCTCCTCTCCCTTGCAAGCACAGTGAAAAACAGAAAGACAACTACTCAGTGCCCTTGCTGCAAGAGACCCTAAGCCCCTGCTCTCAGAGTCGCCTTGAGGCTTGACCTCACCGTGCCCTTACTACCTCCTGTCCTCACCCAGAGACAAACAAGGTCCTTGGTCCCTACTAACCCGCAGGACACCCAGAACAGAGCCTGTTGCAGCACCAGAGGATGCTCAGGGGGGTGGGGAGGGACGGGATGGGGACAACACCATGTCAAAATAAGTAAATAGAGGAGGAGTCCTTCAGAGACAAAAAAACCCTATACTGTAACTTATCAGGAAAGAACTGTTTTCGGTGGTGAACTTAGCACCATGGGATGGGGACAACACCATGTCAAAATAAGTAAATAGAGGAGGAGTCCTTCAGAGACGAAAAAACCCTATACTGTAACTTATCAGGAAAGAACTGTTTTCGGTGGTGAACTTAGCACCATTTGTGACAGATAAACTGCTGTGCTTTGAAATATTCTCAATTCTTTGCAGCTCCCCAAGCTCAAAAAAAATCCCAACAGACTGAACTCCATGTAGCTTGGAAGGGACAAGGCAGGCAGTGTGACGGGACCTGTCAGTAGATTCTCAGGTGACGGGCAGTCTGATGGGACCTTTCTGTCTTGCACAGTAGATTCTTGGTTACCTGTTTTCTGACTGTCAACTACTCTGCCTAGCAGAGTTACCACACAGGCTACCCACAGATTATCAAATCTCAGAGAGTCAAAATGCTAGAAAATTTCCTCAATGCTAACACCACACTAAGCTCTAGAAAGGTCAGGCATGAGGGCTCTCATTATGAGCCTCGAGTTTGATTGTCTTAGAAAAGAAGACACTGTAATTAAAGGCCTCACCTTGCATACAAAACCAGAGAAACTTAGACTCTTTTCTGGGTAGTGAAAGGTAAAAGCAACTGTATCCTATGGGGTTTCAAGTTCAGCAAGTATTTCCCATCTTTCAAATGCAGTTAAGACACGTCACGCTAATCGTATTCACCCTGTGCACTGCAAACATGCAGCCTTAGGATGGATGTTCCTTTGTTTTAGCATCAACACAAGTCTGACCCTCACAACACTGCAGCATAACTTTACTCTCAAACCCACACTGGCTGAATGACCTCCTCTAGGCAGGGTCCCTCGTGGCCCACGCAGCCCCATACCCACTGTGCCAGCCTCCTTCAGGAGCATCTCTCCAAGCTTCTTGTTATCAAGGTGTAGATCTGCTAGCTGGGCTCCGAGCTTTGCAGCATGACTGTGAAACCAAAAAGCAGCAGCTAAACGGATGACACACAAATAGCAGATACACATCCATGTGGAAGGTCTCGGGGCACAAAAAGTAGGTCAAACATTTTGAGAACAGAAAGTCTATTCTAGTGGAGCAAGAGAGAGACAAAGGGCCCTGATTATCTGACGGTCTTTCCCATCCTCATCCGAGTTTGCAGCTAGGTCCCTTGTCAGCACCTCACTTCAGGAGACTCCTCTCTTTTACCTTTAGCTTGCAGAGAGTACATGCCACTCATTCTGGTATAAAAGAACCATTCAGAGGAAAAATAAAGCCAAGCAGAGGGGATGGTGTCAAGACAGACCTGCTCAGATACCGCATGTCCAAATGCTCCATCACGAGCATACTCCCTCCTCCTGGGGCGTCAAGAACCTTCATGGGCTTGGGCACTCTCACTGTTTCTGTCTTCAGGATGGCCGTCAAGCTTGCCATCTCACCTTCAAACATTCTTCTGGCCTGCCAGAAAAATCATGGAGGAGGGAAGAGGGACAGCAAGGTTACTTCCAGAAAGGTCCTATGCAGACATGTCTTCCTCTAGCACTACAATTTCAAACCAAGGCTATCCTGACTGAGGACTCAACAGAAAGATGTGAAGAGTTTTCTTAAAGGTGCTTGTCAGTGGGGTAGGCTATGAGTTCTGAAGTTGCACAGGAATAAGGCTTGTACTTTCTAGTATTAGACTATATTTGTATTCTATGATGGAATCTAAAGACTCTGCAGAGAGGAAAGTAGAAGGCTACTGGTTTTTCACTAAGTGCCTGGCACACAGCTGGATTACACATATGGTTATCTGTCAGTGTCTGCAGACCGCACCTCAACCACAATCCTGTTCCACAGAAAGGACACAGGCTCATCTGGCCACTCAGGTGCAGGTGGCCCTCCATCTGCATACACCAGGAACCTGGGGTCACTTTTCACCTAAATGGACCGCCAACGTCTATGCCGTCTCCTACCTGGCACTGGAAACAATCTCATCTCAATCACCATTTCCATCTTAGTCCCCTGGACTACAGTGACCATCCTCCACCCAGCCTCCCTGCTCACCACACTGCAGGGATCCCTTTAGAAGGCACATCCAACCCTGGACACTCCCTGAGCTAACCCTTCCTACTTCCCGCACAAGGACCGCCCTGCCCACTCTCCCACCCTCACCTGGGACCACTACCCAGGATCCACCCCTACACACGCACACATGCACACACAAGCTCCCTGTGCTTCTGTCTTCCAGCCCTCTTTTCTGTTTCTCAGAGGTTCCCTGCCTTCTCCAGTCTCAAAGCCCCCACACACCTGTCACCTCTGCTTGGAACACTATTCCTCCATCTTTTGCCAAGTGAGTTCCTTTCTAGTCACCTTCAGATTTCAACTTAATATCGGTTTCAATTTCCCAAAGAAATCTTCCCTGACTTCCGATACTAGGGAATTCCTCCCCTTTAAAATATCCTTTTTAAGGAAAAATGTCATTGAAGTACAAGTGCACAACTCATAAGCGTGCAGCTCAAAATTCTCACAGCGTAACCACCACCTGGATCAAGACAGTGGATATTACACAATCCAGAAACTCCTCTTCTTGCCACCGGTCGCTGTCCCCCACCCTCAAAGGTAGCCTCTTCCCTGACTTTCCTGATCACGGACTTATTTTCCTACTTTGTCATTCTGCACAGTCATACGGTCTCTGAGGTCTGGCTTCTTCATTCCACACTGCACTTGTTATGCTGGTGCATGAACAGTAAGAGTTCATCCTCACCGCTGAACGGTGCTCCACTGTGAATATTCCAGAATGTATTCATCCATTCTACTGCTGATGGACAACGGGGCTTCCAGTTTGGGGCTGTTAATATCAGTGCTGGGCATTCTTTTACTTATTCTCATAGCTACTAGCTCTGATCTTGGGCAAGTTACCTAAGCTCTTTGTGCCTCAGTTTCCTTATCGGTAAAATAGGGTTAATAAGAGTCCCAATTTCATAGACTTGCTTCCATGAGTTCCAGCTAACCCTTACATAGTCTATTCTAAACACTTTATAAATATTATTACTACTACAATAATGAGCCAAAATTGCTGAGGAGGAAGCTAAAAACTATGTCCTAAGAAGAATTTTCAGCATTCTCCTTAGAAGATAAAGGAAAATAACTGGGCCCCGGCTATACTTTTACTAGAGTACTGGTTGTGGAGAGAAGAGTAAGGTGTAATGTTTACAAAAAAAAAAAAAAAGGCAGGAGGAGGTGAAGGAGGGTCTGCACACCCAGCTACAGGCCAAGGCTCTTTCACAGAAATATCTACTGCTACGCGGCGCTGAGTTTCTGAGTTTCTAACTAACGCTAAGAGCGCTTACTGCAGAGCAGACCCAAGGTAAAACTAAGCATCAGTGGAACTTAACGGAGGAGTCTGAGAGAAAACCAATTACGCAAGTGTGCAAAAAGCAGATAAAGAATAATCAGGAGGAAAACGACTTAGACCAGGCCAATTCCGCCAGGGGGTAAGAGAGAAAACGTTAGACTAACTGGTAGTGACCCTTAAATGTCTCCAAGGAGTCCCACCCCCAGGAGATAAGCACAGGAGTCTCGTCCCCAGCACGTTCCGAAGCAAGCCGGGAAACGGCACGCCAGAACCTCCTACTAAATAATAACCTCCAATAACTAAGAACTAATAAATAGTAACTTTCCTCCTAAATAATAAGGGCTTCTGCGAGGAAGCTTGGAAAGGAGCGGATAGGGACTCAGAAAGACCGAGCAGCACGGACACCAGAGGGCCCCCCGTGCCCACGCCGAGCTCCGAGGAGCTGCAGGCGCCCGCGCACCTGCGGACGGACCGGGGGACGCGGGGAGGGGCCGGGCCGAGCGCGGCGCCGGAGACGGCGGGCCCAGCTCCGACCCCCGCGCCCGCCGGCCGC